GGAAAAGGGAACAAAGGAACTTTTGGGTGGGGGATGGACAAAGGAGAAAAGTCACATAAATTCAGCTGTGATCATGGTAATTCAGTGCCTTTCAGGAGCAAGCCATTGTGAAAACAAGTCAAATATAAAGTGCTCTCTATGTAAGCCAAGGTCTAGAGCAAAATAGCTCTACCTGTCTTTACAGCTTAATTTCCCACTACTTCCCTACATGTCTTCTAGGGTTCTAGACAAACAGAACTATTACTATACTTCATATTCTCTGAATATACTTCTTTTTCTTCTGTCTCTATATCTTTGTAAATTTCTTTCTACCCAGAATTCCTCTTCTTCTTACCATGACTCCAACATTAATTTGTACTTTTAGTCATTCTTTTAGAGCCAGATCACATATTACCTTCACTTTAAAGTAGTTTTTGTAATCCCCTAAAGGGAATTATAGCTCTCTTCTTGAAAACCTAATAGTACTACTACTGTATTATGTTCTCTATATAACATATGTATGTTTATATTGAGTATATATTTTATAGAGTAAATTTTATTATATGTTATATGTAATATAGAGTATATTTTTATATATTTAAATATATATATCTATACACACTCACACACACACACACTCACACACACACACACACGACATTCTCATTCTCTGCCTGTGTTTTTGTTTTAAACCCTCTACTAGACTGTGGGCAGGGACTGTACCAGGCTCATCCTTGTGTCCTCTACAACCCACAGTAGTTATCCAATAAATATTTGTTGAATTATTAAGTATACATTAATCATTGGATATTGAATAAATCTCCAAGGTTCCTGGTTCATGAGCTGCTTGTTAACATAATTTTTATAAAAACCCTCTGGGCCTCAACAGCATATTCACATATAGAAGATTATTCAGAATTTAAGAACAACTAAAGATAGTAATATAAAGGTAAGAGTATTCACATATTTAAAATGAAAATATACAGTAGGGAAAAAAACGACAATTAGGCATCATAAAATTTCCATTTTCTTATGTAGAATGTGTATGTTAAGGCTAAAGGTCAAAATTTATAGACCAAAACGTGAATAACAATTTTTAAATTAATGAACAAGGCAGTTATTCACATATTAGTTAAGATTGCTCTGAAATTAGACCCTACACACCTTGCTTACAAGCACTTTGCAAAGTATGACTATAAAGCAAAGTACACTGTAATTTGTGGTAAATTACTCAAGGGGAGAAAATGTGTTTTATTCACCTTTGTACCCGATAGTGCCTTAAAATAAAAATATGCTTGTTAAAATCAATATAGACATTTAAATGATTTGTCCCACTTAAAATAAGCCACCTTGCAAGATTGACACACTATAACAATCATTTCCTTCATTTCTAAGAATGTACAATTGGTCTCCATCATCTGTGACAAGAAGTTAAAATTCTAGCCTGAGATTCAAGTCCCCTCACAATTTTCTTTCCTTTTCCAAAAGTCTCATTTCCCACTTCTTTCCTCCAAGCATCTTATCTGCCAGTCAAATTGAACTTCCTGATTTCACACTTGCTTGCCTCTGTACCTCTGGTCATTTGGCAATTTCTTATGTCATTTATCATTTTCTTCCTTGCATTGTATCCTATATATAGTTTGTTTCCCTTACTAGACTGTGCGTTCCTTATGTCAGAGACCATGTCCTAGATATCTGTAACTATATTTTATTACCTAGCACAGGGCCTGGCACAGGGTAGGTACCAAACAAAAAAGTTGAAGGGAGTGTATGAATAATACCAATAGAACGCAAATCTGGAAACAGCTTTTTGACATGCCATAGAAGAAAATCAATTTATAGGAGAATTCTTAAATATAAGTAGACATTAAAACTATCTGGGAAACGTGTCTAAATAGCAAATTTTTGGTGTTAGTTGCCACCAGGGGACTTGAAGGAATACCAAGAGGCAACTGTGTTATCTAATGAGAAAGAATAAACTCCTGAACCACTGTTGAGAGTAAAGAGGACAAAAGGAAGAAATGGACACAAGAGGCTAACAGGCACACTCCTGGCAATGGCAATCATCATCAAACTCGTCCTTTGTAGGAAAGTCATTTCTTGGCTGTTTTTCCTTATATCTAATCTTTGACCTTTGAAATCAGGATGACAATATGTGTTTATTTTAAGCTCCATTCACTTAAATGTACATAGAAAAATAATGATTATTTTTCTCAGAATACTCTTCAGATATGTACCATGTCTCAAAATGCACAATACATAGGTTAAACCATAGAAACTTTTATCTGATAAAGCTCTTTGAAAAAAAAAATGTTACTATCTGTGAGATATTGCAAAAGATAAGCTCTGGTTATAAAGCAGCAAGACACTGAGAGAACTAACATGTTCTCTTTAGATTATTTCAAACAGAGGGTATGAATTAAAGGAAGTAAGATTTCAAGTGGTTAAGAAGAAAAGAGTTTTTTTGCCTTTTAGAAGTTTATAAAATGCCAGTATTCTAAACTTCATACACCGAACTCCTTAGGATAATCCGATATAGTTAGTACATGCTATTTGTCACTTCTCTATCCATTTGGCAAAGACTACACAGAGACAAATGTTACCGAGGCTCAAAAATGGAGACTTCTGGAAAAATGACCAAAGCCAGAAATAAAGCTGTACTAATTAGAACACAAATAATTAAATGGCCAAACCCGAATGTTGTGTGATGCTGAAAAGAGATATATTTCTAAGGCATACCATCTGCTTTACAGTTTTTGATTTTGCTGTACTAAAAATCCACTCAGTACAGTTTTGTAATGATCTATCTAACTGCTAGCTCATTTGCACAATTACTTTAGGCCAGAAATACTTATTGCACAGAATCATTTGAGAGATCAACACATTCATAGAAGAGGGCAGATGTAACACATTTTTTGAGTGAAGACTATTTTTGTAGCTCTTGTAGAAAAAAATATTATTCAAAGAAATGATTAGAAATTGCCAAAGGAAAATTAGAGAATTTAAAAGCAGAGTGATATCACTATAAATTTAAGGTATCTAAACTTATCTGGGCCTTCAGGGTCACCATCAACCTCTCTGCTGGCCAGTCTAATGGGAACTTCTCATTCTCCTCTTGACCTCTCAGCAGCACTTACCTGCGAGCTGATTGCTCCGGCTTTCGCATCCATTTTTCTCACTAAACTTCCCTGGCAACGTTCTCATAATTTTCCTCCTTCCTCATTAGCTATTCCTCCTCAGCCTCCATTGCTAGCTTTTCCTCTTCTAAATGTTGTAGCATCTAAAGACAGGACCTCTTCTCCTTTCTACGTATCTGTATTTTCTTCCTAATTTATCTCTTCAGCCGATAGTTTTACATGGCATCTATATACTTACGATTCCCAAATTTATATTTCCAGCTCAGACTTCTCCAGCTCCAGACTCATATATTCTATTACCTATTTGTTATCTCCACTTGGATGTCACACAGGCATCTCAAACTTAGCATACCTAATACGGGTCTTGTGATTCACCACCCTTCCCCCAGAAAAAAATATCTATTTTCCCTTCAGGTTTCCACATCTCAGTAAATGGCACCACCATCAAATCATTTGTTAAAGTAAAATCTAGAAGTCATCCTTGATTCCTCCATTATCCTCATCCCTCATCTAATCCATCACCAAGTCTTGTCAATCATACCTAAAAAATATATCACATTTATTTCTCTTCAACTCTATTGCTATCATCCTGTCAAAGCCACCATCGTCTCTCAGCAATACTACCACAATGTAAGCATATCATACACCTCCAGTATGTAATACAGTGTCTAGCAAGTAATAGTTGTACAATAATTTTTTTCATAGATAATTATTGTTCAGCAATATTCTGATGTGTCTTTAGACATCTCCAGTCTCAGTACTCAGACATTTTCTGTGATAACTACAGACTTATTCATTTGCTGAGTCATTCACTCATTCAGCAATTATTTATTGAGTATTGTATTAATTGGCATTAGGTTCAATTGCATAGTTTACAGTATCTTAAAGATGACAAAAGTTTGTTTCCTACTCATATAAAAAAGTCTAGAAGTAGGCACTCGAGGGCTGCCTAACAGGTCTGTGAGCTAAGACCCCTGGTTTCTTGCATCTTGTTGCTGTGGCACCCTCAGTTTATAGATCCCACTTTATGGTCTAATGCAGCTACTCAAGCTCCAGCCATCCCCTCTGCATTCCAGCCACCAGGAAAGAAGACAGGCATAAGAAATGCCATACTCCCTCCATGTAAGGACACGTCCCAGAAATTGCCCCTACTTCCACTTAGATCTTACTGACCACCTCAATAACGAGCAAAGACAGGATAACTAGCAAAGAACACTAGACAGCAATGTTTCCAGTTTCCAGCTAAGCAGATCCTCATCAGCATGAACAAAGAGAACAAATACTGAGGTAAGTAGCAGCCTCTTCCAAAGTGCCTATTGTGACGAGGTAATGCTGTGGGTACAGGGATATAAAGATGAGTAAGACATAGGGTCTATGCTCAAGGTATTTAGTCTAACGGAAAAAACAATATGTAAATGAATAATTACTCAAGATTTCAAGCTAGGTATTAGCCACTGTTAGGAGACGCCGGCTTTTCTGAGTGCGCAAAGATTCCTTGCATCCAAAGAGGTAAAGAGAAATGGACGGTTCCAGTGCTTTATATCACTAAAGTACACAGGCTCTTCAATATTCCACAGCTTCAATAATAAGCATTTCTCAGCTCTGTTCTACTGGATTTGATACCTTCAGGACATGAAGCCAAGCAAAGTTCATTTAAACCTCTAAAATATATATATAAAATCAGTTGTGGTAATAGTTTTAACAGTTTGAAAATACTCATTTCAGAAATGTGTCAAGACTCCATAATTTTAACTTGTCAGAGGATGAGACAAATTGACTGTTTTAAGAAGACTATATATAAACTATAAGGCTGAATGAAAAGAAATAAGCAATGGTAGCATGTCAAAAAGAAAAAAGAAAACAAAAAGTAATACTGTAACTTACTGTTAACCACTGGTTATCTAGTAGCTCCTTTGCTGTGATTCTGTGAGCAGGATCTACTTTCATAAGTTGTTTCAAAACACTTTTAGCTGCAAATAAAGGAAAATCCTGAAAATCTTATTTATCTTAACTACAATTAATACATTTCCCAATTTATTTGGAAATAGGTCTGTATGACATGAAGGAACAATGTCAATTATACAATAAATATCAGTATAAATGGCTAAGAAATAAAGTTTAAGGCCTAACGTGAGGCTTTATTGCCTGGATGACCTGGTTTATATTCTATAGTAAATATTAACTAGGTGATCAGCAAACTTCCTCTTTAAGTTTTGCTATGTATTTTCTGTTTTGGTTGGAAGTTTTGAGTATAACAATCACAGTGAAGCTATTCCTATTCCCACAAGTAAATAGTATTTACCCTCTGAGTAAATTTAATGACTAAACAGAGGTTTAAAGTATTTCAATTACTCGCAAACTTTCTTGTAATTCTGTATATTTGCTTTAATAATAACAACAAATGTATATTTACCACAATCACTTATGGAATCCCAGACTGGATCATCAAAATGTAGTTCTCCCTTTCTTATTAACTCAAAAAGCTTCTCTTCTGAGCTTGCCAGAAAGGGTGGTTCTCCACATAATCTAGAAACAAAGGCAATCATTTTTGTTTATATTTTTTAAAAATCAAAATAAGGCTATTAAAAATTAAGTTTCCACAGGACTTAGAAGTACTGGTGCTTCATATTTAAGTAAAGGATAGCAAGAAGGATAGAAAGGAAGACATTGAAATGGTTAAAGATTTTGCTTACCTTAGTTCAGTCATCAGTTCAAATGGACGCTGCAGCCAAAAAAATGAAGAGAAGGCTGAGACTCGGAAGGGCAGCAATGGAAGAATTAAAAAACATCATCAAGAGCAAAGATGTGTCATTAGAGACCACAGCCTCATATTCCCAATAACTACACACAGATATGAAAGGTGGACAGTGAAGAAGTCTGAGAGGAAAAAAAATGGATTCATTTGAGTGTTGGATGAGAGTTCTACAGATACCCAGAACCACTAAAAAGATGAACAAGTGGGTCCTAAAGCAAATTAAGCCTGAAACATCGCTGAAGGCAAATGTGATAAAACAGCTGTCCTACTTCAGGCACATTGTGATAAAGCAGGGTTGTCTGGAAAAGACTAATGCTGGGGAAAATGAAAGGCAGCAGGAAAAGAGGGAAACCAAATATGAGATGGACTGACTCCCTAAAAGAAGCCATAAGCATGGGTCTACAGGAGCTGAGCAGGGCTGTGGAGGACAGGACATCATGGACATCACTCACTCACAGGGTCGCCAAAAGACGGAGCCAACTCAACAGCATGTAACACGCACAGGAAGAGATGGGCACCTCTCTGGATGTAGAAATGGAAGCAAAACAGTTTTGCGAGACCAGTGCTTGGCTCTTGAATACATTGAAAACCTCCAGATCAGCAAATGACCCAAAGCTCTCCCAAGTGGGGAAACATTAAGCTTAAATGGGGTTAAAATACAGGAAGGTGTGTGTACACAGCAATAGGTGCAGATAATAGCGGGGGTATTCTTCACTGTAAGGGTAAGGTAATGCCTAAAGTACATAATCCAAACTAAACTTATGGATAAATATACTGAATCATCAGAGTCCAATAAGGGTTATCAGAGTCTAATTAACCATGTAAGAGTTTTATTCACGTGTTAGCAAGACTAAATCAAGAACAACCCTGGGAATGTCTACAGGGTTTGAGTCAAAGCCAAAAATCTATACAATGACCACAACTCATCAAAAATAGTATACAAAATGAAGACAGTCTGGGTAAGGAAAATCAGATGATGATGATTTGACCCTTCAGTCTGGAAGAGTGAAAGCTGAGTATACATAATGGCCAACATCATAACACCACGAGCGGCATGTACTAAGTGAACACGGGCTTATTTTCACACCCTGTAATACAGGACTGTGTGTCTTTGGAATCTTTTAAGAGGGAGTGCTGTACCATGTAAACATCATGAAGAGCATGCAAGCCTAGATGTCAGCAGGTAACTCAGTCCAAAACTACAAAAACATGCTTGAAAGCTGAGTTCAATTCTTTGTACATTCTCAACAAATGTTAGCATCATCATTATTGTCAACACTGACTTCTGACTTCTGTATACAACCAGATTTTCCCAGTGATAACCAGACAGAAGTTGGACCTGGACTCATCACACAGACACTTCTGTATGTCTGTTCTCCAGCTCTCAAAGTTGTATTTTTCCGCTTTATTACTAAAAGAATAAAATGGCATAACTCCATTCAACTTTCCAAATGCTGGTCCATTATGTACATAACTATAATGATGTCTAAGTCTCTTTTAACAGTTACATTTCTACTGATTTTTTAAGCTAGATTTTTCTTTAAGTTCCTTAAAAATCTTTCCCATAAACATTTTCTGAATAAGTCTAAATTTCATAAATATTATACCTGAAAATGATGGTGATAATATGATTTTCCTAGAGAAAAAGTTGTCTTCATCCTAGTCGTCTATCAAACTAGGCTGGACAGTATAGTTTTTCATTTACCAATAGGTTCTTGTTAAGAGATAGATATTTATGAAATTGTTCTACAAACTCTTATTTAAATACTTTTTACTTCTCCAGTTCATTCTGACCCTCCTCTCTCTGACCTTACTTGCCTCACTATTGTTTACTTTTAAAATGCAATATTTAAAAAGCCATAAAAGTGGTCTTATGAACAATTACTATCTATTGTAACAAGTATAGGCCAGCAAAAGCCCAGCTCATTGAATCTGTTAATAACCAGTGATACGCACATTCACCAATTCCTTAGCTGCTCCTGCACTGCCTGACTAGCATGCAACCATAGCTTAAGGGCTACGTTTTAAAAATTCCATTTTTTTCGGTCCTTTGCAATTTTACTTACATAAGAATGTATCTAATGGTTGGTCAATCAGCAGCATGTGAAATTTTATGACAGCAATTTTCTGCACATCCAGAAAAGGGAATCCAAGACATGAAAAATGCCTCTTAAAGCTTTCCTATTATTTTCTGTTACATTCATAGGAATCAAAACAGCAGAGGATATACCCATAAAGAATATTTATGTTAATTTCACCTTGAGAAAGTATGTTATCATTGTCCAATTAAGTAGAAATAAATCAGGAGTAACTGATAAACAAGAAAATAACCCCCCTGGAGAAGGTAATATGTTTGTGCCCTTGGTAAAGGAAATTATAAGACCAGTGGGCTCAGGCAGATTAATGAATAGGCACTGATTAGCTAAGTAACAGTCTACTGTAAAGAAAAAAAGATGTCATTATGATGCTATGCAGCCAGAAGCAGAAAAATTAAAATTATATCTTTAAGAAAGAGAAAAAAATTTAACATATTTATACACTATCACTTTCCTTTATGTCAAATTCAAGCTAAGAAGGCAGCAAACACGTGAACTCTGTAATATTAGATTAACACATATTATATTTGACTTGTGCTGTCTACAAAGTCTTGAGATCACAAAACACTAATTTGAAATGGTTATATTTCTAATTAAAGACTAAGGCTCAGAATTTTTACAATATGATTCTAACCAGCACAAAACAAATGATCAAAACTTTGTGAATACATTTATACTTTATGCAATCTAAGCAGTTGATGTATGTTGACCATCTGAGTTACAGCTATAATCACATCATCCAATTTCTACTGCCATTTCACAAAACTGTGAAAATGTAACTACTGTGATGTCAATATTTAGAAATGATCTGGAAGAGATGGTGTAGAGTGAAATCTTCAATATGACCATAAAACTAATGTTGCATCAACATAAAAATGTTCATATTCACCAAGAGGCAGAACAATGGTCGCTAACTTTTCAGAACACCTCTTAGAAAATTCACTTTAATTCAATTTAACAAATATATATATATATATATATATTGAGCACTGACTACATGCCTACTATTGTACCAGATACCAGGGATGCAAAGATGAATAAGATCTCCGTCCTTCATGAAATTTAGAGCAAGGAAAATAGATACAGTACACATAATACAGTAATTATATTACAATACGATCATCTGGTTTTTAAAAGTGCTATGAGACTACAGAAGAGTGAACAATTAATTCTATCAAATTTGCACATGTGCAAACCTTCCTGGTTAAATATTCTTATTTTATTATTTTGTTGTTCTTTCAGCATTACTGTTTTGCATGATTTCTGCATGTTGCCTTAAGTTGAAAGTATACATAATGAATGTAGTGACTCTGCTGATGTAGAGCAAGAGTTAGGGAAATGGAAGGTGTCAGTGTTTGACTTGGCCGCACCCGGAAGTGAGCTTAGTGGAGAAGAACAAGAACATTCTAGATAAGAGGAACTGCATGAGCAAAGACCCAGGGGCAAGTGATGCAGGAATCTGGGCTGAACCTCTGTCTAGTTAGTGCCCACTCCCCACATATGCCCGGTCCACAGGGTGGCTCTAGTGCCAGGGCCTAGTACTTTCCTCTACCTGATGAGCTGTAAGTGAATCTCTTGAGAAAACACTGAGTAGCTTGGTTTGTAGCAAAGGATCAGGAAGGTTTTAAGGCCAAGTTTTTCACTTTGCTCAGTTCATACAGTGCATTGAAGCATTTATAGATCAATGAAAGGCAAAGCTGAAAGTTATAAATTTATAGTGTTAAAAACATACTGAATGGGTGTACTTGGCAACTAATAAGAGAGCTTTTAGAGTGACTTCCCAATTGTTTTTTTCAGTAGCTTTTTAAAAACTATACTGTTTAGGTTTAATTTAAAATCTATGTAATCCTATTGTCAGAGACCATTCATTTTAAAGTGTGCATTTATCAGGCTACTTACAAAATGTACATTATGACACCTATGCTCCAAATGTCACACTGCTGGCTATAGTCGTGGGCATTGATAACTTCAGGGGCTGCCAAACAAGCAGAAATGAAAAAATATTAATAATACAATAAATGACTTTTAAATGCTTAAACACAAAGCATGAAAAATGTGCTGACATGCTGTAATTTACTCCCCCACAGGGAGAAAGAGAACCAACAGCAGATGTTAAATGAATAATGGACAGGCCTTAACTGCATCCTCACTCCTGCAGTTAGCTTCCAACAGAACGACGGCACAAACGACAGAACTGAACGCACAACTACACTTCATTCCTTTGAAATTGTTAAGAAAGGATATTACAAAGATTGTGTAGTTATAGAAGACAACAATATCTGTTCCTTTCCAAAACTAGAATTGAATTACATGCCTTAAGTGGGTACAATTTAAAGTGATCTGGATTCACAGAAAAGCTCAGATAAATGGTTATAAATCACTTTAGTAAAATAATAATAATAATAATAATAATAATAATAATAATAACATCACAGCACTCCCACGACAGAATATGAATTATTTTCCACGTCTTCTAAATGACAAAACTAAGACAAAGAAAGAGTTACAACATAACTGGATGGAAAAGCCCGTTAGTCACAGGATAAGGGCTGGGAGCCCAGGTCCTTCTGACTCCCCAGCTCTGTGCTTCTTAATTTACAACGGGTTCACAATCTTTTCAAAGTAGAACCTTTTTTTTTTTAACTTTAAGTAGCACATTTTTTAAATGATTAAATTTTTTTATAATGGCTGGCTTTTAAGAAGCTCATATATGACATTTCAGGATTATGTCAATTATGCTTCTACACCAAGGGATCAATGATCTTTCTTTAAGGTAAAAGTAAGAATAAAAGAGTTATAAACATAAAAATAAAATGTGTATATATTTCAATAGAACTTTAAAATTTACAAAGTACTTTTGTATCAATTATGTTATTTGTATAAATTAAGAATCTTGTGAGATAGGTACGTAGGCATTTGACTCACTGTGCCAGTGAGGAAACTAAGGTTCAAATGTATTAAATGACTTGCCTCAAGTTACAAAGGTATTTTTATTTTGGAAAACAGTTTCAAGCTCCCGGACCTACACACACACACACACACACACACACACACACACACACACAAACTTTTTTAACGACTAACAGCAAATGGAATTTCATTTCCTCTGCCTCTTGTAAAAGGTACTAAAAAGCTACAAAAAGGAGTCCAAAGGTAAACCAAAGAAAGAGAGAAAAGGCTCAACTATAGATAATTAACAAACTGAGTAATTTGTCCCTAAATCATTAAAAGTTAACTAATATTTTCCTTTAAGCAACTCCTTGTATTCTTTAACTCTACTTAACCACCTTAAATACTAAATCATCAAAGTTCAAGTTGCCCTTTGGCCATGTGTGTGTATAGGACAACTGGCAAATTCCGGGATTAGATTCTAGGAAGGATCTCCAATAGGTGCATTGCACACACAGCAGGGGCCCAGATTCCTGGTCTTCACTCTTTCAGAGTCATCTTAATCACCAGGGGCATTTCTACTGCACTGTCATCACAGCTCTCCTAGGGAGGCAGAGGCCACAGTAACTGTGCCAAGGAGCCATTTAGGAAGTCAGCAAGCTCTACAAACCATCTGTCTCCCCTCTTGTTCTCTCACTTGTTATCAGTGTAGACAGCTAATAAGCAGGCATAAAACTCAGGGTGCTTGGATATATTTTCCCCGTGTAACTACAGAGCAGATGTCGTTTGCCAACAGGAGGATATGAACAGAATCTAAAGTAGCCTTTTCCCAAATAAGATAAAACAATTTTGAAACTTTATGCATCAAGTAGACAAAAAAACAATGAACTAGGTATACTCCTCAGCAATAAAAATGAATAAACTACTGATCTGTCTCAAAATCATTACATGGAACTGAAGACGACAGACACAAAAGAATATATGTGTGATTCAATTTATATAGCGTTCTAGACAAGCAAAACTAAGCTATGGCGATAGAAATCATTAGTGGTGATTGGGGTCTGGATGGGGGATTGACTGTGAGGAACACAAAGGAACTTCCTGGGGTGATAGAAATGTTCTCTATCTTCACTGGGGTGGTGATTATACAAGTATGTACATTTCTCAGAATGCACTGAACATTATACCTTAATACTTGTGCATTTTATTGTAAGTAAATTGTATTTTGGCAAAATAGATTTTTAAATAAATCTACTGAAAGTACAAAAAGAATTTCTCAAAGCCCCATCTTGGTGACTTTAATAACTCTCTCAGAAATCAAGAGCAGCAGCAAGCAAACTTAAATTAACAATATGGAAAGTCTGAATCACAAAAGTACCACATTTGATTTTATAAACATATACATACAGAAATTTTTGTGCTCAACAAACCAGGAATATGCATACTTTCTAAATATCCAATGAAGCATTTACAGAAACAAATCATGCGTTCAATCACAAAGAAAATTCCTAAAAGTTGAAAAAGTTTTAAGTCACAATTGCTACTACAACGAAGAAAACCAGACAGAAAAACCAAAAGGCTAGGGAAACTAATACACTCACATGAGCATCAATCACATCCCAAACACCTAGAAAATTCTAAAAGCACTTCTAAATAATTCTGGGATTAAAGAAGAAGACTAAAGCTAAAATTAAGACTATTAAGAAATGAATAACAATTCAGACACTGTATATGGCAAAAGAAATGGTCAAAGAAGTATTCAAAGGAAAATATATAGCTTTGAATGCATTTATTAGAAAATAAGACTAAAAATAAATAAGCATTTACCTTAGGAAGTTAAAAAGCAAACCAAAAGAAAGTAGAAAGAAGGAATTTAGAAAGATAAAAGCAGAAATTAATGAAAAAGCAAACCAAATAACATTAGACATGGTTCTTTGAAAGCCCCCAAAACTGGCCTAACCATTAACAAATTTGATAAAGAAAAAAATAATTATCAGTTATTACAAGAGCTAAAATTGAGCAACAAGTGCCATGTACAGTGTTAAACACTTTACATATATTTTCTCATTTAACTCTCATGTCAGATAAGAAAGGTATTATTACCATCCTAAATACATTCTCTCCTCCTTTCCCTGTTTTATTTTTCTTCCTTAGCATTTGTAACAAAACAGATATTTTACTTTTTATCTTGTTTAATGTTTGTGCCAACATGACATTTTTACATTTTGTTCACTGTTGTATTCCCAATATTTAGACCAGTGTCTGACACAAAGTAGATCCTCAAAAAGTTTTTGATAAATGAGTGACATTATCCCTATTATGTGATGTAGAAATTGCAACAAAATCAGTTACATTGTTTGCCCAGGGCTAATCAGGTGTTAAGTGGCAGAGCTGGAATCCTGAGTTAGCCAGGTAATGTCAGAGGCCATATTACATCATACTGCCTTCCTAAAAAAATATTAGGACTCAATAGGGGGATGTAACCACAGATAAACAGGAGAATCTGAAAATTAAAAGTGGATACAAAATGCATATTTATGCCAATAAAACTTCAAATCTCAATGAATAATTTTCCAAAAAATTTAAATCATAAAAATGATTCAAGAAGGTATCAAAAGCTTGAATAACCTATCATAAATTGAAGATATAATAGAAACTTCATCCCACTCTACCAAAGGGTACCAGGACCAAAAAATTTTAAGGGGCAATTTCATCAATCTAATGCATAATTTCTATTAGTTACATGGTTCATGAGTATATAAAAAGTGAAACATATTTTTTAAGAGCGGCTAACATAACTATAACATCAAAAAAGACAAGGGCAGCACAAAAGAAAGAAAGCTACACTCATAGATCCTAAAGTAGTGACAAATTGAATACAGAAGTATGTTAAACAAAGTGGGGTTTAATCCAAAAGTGCAAGGATGGTTCAACCTTTTGAAAAGATATTTTATTAACAAATTTAAAGATAAAAATATATGATCATCTCAATAGGTACAGATTTCAATAGACATGTAATCACAGAAGATATATAAATAACTAACAAGTACATGAAAAGATGCTCAACATCGCTGGTCATTAGGTTAATGCAAATTAAAAACCACAATGAGATATTACTTCATACCCATAGGAATGGTTATAATTTTAAAAGATAGGGAATATCAGGTATCAGCAAGGATGTGAAAAAAACAAAACTGCCATACATTGCTAGTAGGAAGGTAAATCGTATAGCAATTATGGAAAATCATTTGGAGGTTTCTTAAAAATAACATGTAAATAATATATGACCCAGCAATTTTCTTCCTAGGTAGCTACACAAGGAAAGTGAAACTGTATGTCCACTTAAAAACTTGTACATGAATGTTCATAACAGCATTATTCATAATAGCCCCAAACTGAAAACAATCCATAGGTCCATCAGCTAACACACGGATAGCCAAACTGTAGCATATCCATACAATGGACAGTCATCAGCAACGAAAGGAGCAGACTACAGATGCATGTTACAGCAAGGATAGCTCAAAGACGTTATGCTACGGGAAAGAAGGCAGACATAAAAGACTACATATTTGATAGTTCCATTTATATGAAATGTTCAGAAAAGGCAAATCTAGAGGGACAAAAAGATAAATGGTTATCTGGGGCTCGGATAGGAGTGAGATTGAGTGAAAACAGGCATGAGGCAACTTTTGGGGGTAGAAATGTTCTAAAACTGGACTGTGGTGATGATTGCACAACTGTGTGTGTGTATGAAAAAAAAATCATGGAATGGCACACTTTTATGATATTTAAAATATATTCAGTAAAGCTGTTAAGAATCACATTTGGAAAAATGGGCAATTGCTGCTTTACAAAATATCAGTGCTCTTTATGAAAAACAATTTGATGGCAATGAAACTGGATTTAAAAAATGGAAAGAAGCAAAACACACACACACACACACACGATTTTAGCATGAATTAACAAAAACAATAATTAAGTTTGGGGTATGATTACGTAAGAGAATAAACAACCATAAGAAGAACCTAGAGAAACAATAAAAATTACAAGTTTGGCTGGTAAGAACTATGAGAAAAACACTAAAACATCTGAAATCATTTGACCTAAAACTAAAAAGGTAGTTTGAGCAGGGCTATTAAGTCTTCACAGCAAAATCAAATTGCTCAGGTTTTAATCCACATTAGTTGTTCTACTTTTTTATACAGAAAAGTCATTTTAAGTCCACCTACTTACCCATATAGATAGGAGTCCCACATGTGGTCTGCAGCATGGCTTCACCCCTGCCAAGTTTCTTCACCGCTAAGCCAAAATCAGTCACCTAAAAGAAGAAACTCAGACAGTCATGTCTTCCTGTCCCAGAGTTGACTCATTTTGAAGGTGGCATTTTATAATTGCATTTAATTCAGGGATTTCTGAGGATGAAGGGGCTTTAGTGTATAACTAATAAAGACCTTGTTTTCCCTCCCCACCCACCCCTCTGTGTGAAAAAGAAATTTGGTAAAGACAAGCTCAGTTTCTCAAATCTTGAGAAAACACCCAGGATGTCGATTATTCATTCCTTCTAGTTAAATTCACCAGTTCAACATAGAAAGTTGTAACTTGAAAAAGTCACTTAACTTTTTCCAAATAAAAAAGTAATTTTTAAAAAGTTCCCTCACTGAAAAATACATTACATCCTTAGTATGTTTATTATCATTTTTCTGATACTCAAGCTCTGTCCCAGTTTAAAACACTGTTAAAAATGCAAATCGCTCTCCTTGTCAGCACTCCCAGGAACTCCCCTTTTTTATAATTATTTTAAAAACACCATCTCTGGTAAACACTATCTTTTCTTTACTATTATTTCCTTTGGGTTTCTAGAGTATACCAATTAAAACAATGAGTACACTATTAAAAACTACAAAAAGCAAATTAACAGGAAAAAATATATAGCATGACTACAGATACACGGGAGGCCTATTCCTGCAAGTGCAGTCTTTCTGCTCAGTTCTAAATCTTGGTCGTTAAACATTTGGTTATTAAATATTCAGTATATGCCCTTGGTCTTATCTCCCAAGTTGGAACAGCCCTGGGCTGAAAACAGAAAAACAGGCACATTTATTGATCATGCAACCAAAGACAGGCTCCTGGTCCACAGATGCTGAATGCAAACTTTCCAGTGCCTTATGGAGTAAGAAAATGTTCCTATCAACATGGGATAGCACCATTCTTCTAAACAGATTAACTAATTTCTTCAGGAGTTTTCACAGTTATCCCACTTGGAGCATTATGATGCATATCTTTTTCCACAGAAAATCTATTCAGATCTCAAATACACAAAAGGTTTCATGATCCAATTCAATTCTTGGAGAGTACTTATTCCTTCATTCACCAAATATTAATTGAGCACATACTATGTTTTGGGCAGTACAAGTACCAACAGTGAATAAGATATACACAATCCCTGCCTTCATGGAGTTTACAATAGAAATATTCAACAACCTTTACTCAGGTAAAACAAAATACTGTTAAACCTGTTTATATTAATAGGGACTTAGCATCTGCAACAGATTGAGTTATTCACAGACACTTTATTCCTAAATTAACACATTCATGTATTTTGAAAGCAGCCACTATTAAAGTGCTAAGTAATAAATAATGTATCCTATCATTTATTTGACATTAAGGAACACTTAATTTGAATAAATCTTCAAGAATAAACACTTGGCACATTAATTGTGCTTAGGACATAAATATTAATACCCAGGAAAATTTTCAGTGAGAAATACAGACTTTAGCATTAATTTAGTATCAAAGGCACAGCCAAGGTGTGTTTTTTTTCCCCTAAATCTGTAACACATTTACATCAAATTACCAGGCATAATTTTGAAATTAATTAGAATTCAGAGCATCTGTTTGCTTGCTATTAACTAATGATTCAGAACTACCCAAATGAATATGTACTTAAAAAAAATTCAACAGTACCACTTAACTTGTAAAATTATTCTTGTCAGTTATAACATCTTTTGTGAAATTTTTATGTTTTTAGCACCAGACACTTATTTTGTGGCCGCTCAAAGCTTGCAAAATGTATCTAAAAAGAGGATGTATGTTGCCACTTTGTAATCAAACTGTTTATAGGCAAACATTTACCACCATTTCTAATATCTTACCTTTATGTTTAAGTTCATTTCATTGTTAGCATCAATAAAGCTGCTTTTAACCATTATGTTTTCCAGTTTTAGATCTCTATGTACTATATCTACCAAGAAGAGAAACAACAAATCAAATGAAATGAATAGAAAAAAAAAATTAGAGGGACACGAATACAACAACTAAATATATTTGACAAATTAATGTCCACTGTTGAAAAACTTGCGGAGGGCCAAACATAATTCTGCCGTTCCATTTTCTTTCTTTTTTAAAAAAAATTAGTTTCAGGTGTACAAAGCAATGTCATAGTTAAGACATTTACATCATTTCCTTTTATTCAAACCTGTGTTATCCACATTCCTAACCTGAAGCAGCCATTTTCTTACACTCCGTCATCTCTCCCCATTCCGCTGTTTCCCCTCCCTCCCGCGCCTGGCTGCTGCTCTTCCTGACGAGTGGCCTGGTGAGTGTGGAGGAGGAGCCTGCCCAAGGTTAGGTACTCCCCGGAGGAGGGAGACAATTGTAGTCAAAAGCCCAGCAAGGCTTCCCCGTAGCCTTAGATCTTGAAATAGAGGATTGCTTCTTTACTTCTATGCGTATGCTATTGCCAACATAAACATTTAACATACTGCCATTTGGCTGCATCTATACAAACTACACTTATTTCAGTATATTTTTCTATAACATCAGTGCACACTTTCCTACTCTTTACATGTTAAAATAAAAAAACAAACAAAAACCCTTGAGATGCAAAATCCCCAGTTGAACAAGTTAGGCCTCGGGTAGGATTTTTATGTACATGCAAATAATCATGTACCAAACACTTCCTTTGCAAATAACTGAATCGGTTCACATCCATAGCAATCATTTCCCGTGACTTAAATGGTTGTATATGTAATTACTGAACGAACCCCGGACTGGCAATTATACCTAACCATTTATAGCTCCCTTGCACAGTTCCCGGTATGTGTTTTTGGAATTTTTATTGTTTCTATTCCTCTGCTTATCTCTTCTTACATAAATACCACACAGTTTTAATTAATAGATCTTTATAGTATGTTCTGATTCTTGGCAGGGCAAGTCTCCCTGCCGCCTCCATTGTTCTTCATTTTCATTGTTTTCTTTGCTGTTCTCAGCCATTTTGGAATGATTTTATCAAGTTCCATTAAAAATCCTATTAAGGTTTGTTTGGGGGTTTTTGTCTTATTTTGTTGTTGTTTTTTAAAGATTTTATTGGAGGAATTGGGAGAGGGGAACAGCATTGGGGAATTCGGGAAGGGGAACAGACAAGTTGCTGTCCTTTTGTTCTTCAGTCTAGTTGTGGAGGACATTGCTTCACTGGCCCACGTTGGTATTGTGGTCATTGTGCTCTTCCTGGCTGAGGTAGTCGCTCACTGGCCATTGGACAGCCACTCATGGCAGCCCACTGCAGCCTACACCGTCGTCAGTGACTCATGGCAGCCCAGCTCCAGGTTGAGCTGTTGTTCACCATCTTAGCTGTAGAGGGCGCAGCGTCACTGGCCCTCATGTGGGATCCAAACCGGGGCCCTGCTGCTCAGACCTGGCGTCCCAGGCCAACTCTTAACCAACGCGCCACTCAGCCAGCCCCAAGATTTGGTGGTTTTTTTTGGGTTTTTTTTTAGCTGAGCCATCCTGCCACCTGTTGGCAGCTCAGCGGCTGCTCAGCTCGGGTCGGGACTCGAACTGCTGTTGCTCAGAGCTCAAACCAAGATTTGTTTTTAATTGTACTGAAGTAATAGCTTAAGGCGGGAACATGAACATTAGCATAATATTAAGCCATTGGTTTCCTGCCCTTGCAAAAATTGTCCTCTGCCTGGAAATCCCTCCCTTTTTTCATCGGAGTTAGTATTCTTCAGCACAAGTTTTGCTTCCTCTGGTAATTCTTCCCTGCCTTTCCAAAACAAATGAAGCTCTCATTCTACTATTCTCCTTGCACTTTATATGTCTCTCTACTAAAGAAATGAACACATTGAATTACAATTTCTTTTCTACACTCAGTCTCCCAGCAGCCTGAATTCCTTGAGGTGCAGGGCACTTGTGTTTTCATCTTTGTAACTCGAGGACTGACCACAGTGTAGTAGGTACTCAGGAAATATCTGCTGAGCGAACCCTGGGTTCCAGAACCAGCTCTGCACACCTAACCATGTCACGTCTCCTCTCTGGAAGAAAGTTTCTTCTCATCTATAAAGTGAGTAGGTTCCAAAGTCATATGGAAGCCAAACTAACCTTGAAGGAAAAAATAGGGAGGAGCATGAGGAAAAGCAGCAGCACAAAGGGCAGTAAAGCAATTAGAATAATTAGAATAATTTTTAAATGTGGATTTTAAACTGGTGAAAACTATCCTGTATGATACTATAATGATGGATACCTGTCTTTATATGTAGAACACCAAGAGTGAACCCTAATGTAAACCATGACTGTGGGTGATTATGATGTGCCAATGTAAGTTCATCACTTGTAAGGAATGTCCCACAGCGGAGGGGGATGTTGATAATGGGGAAGGCGGTGCATGTATGAGCATGGGGTATACAGGTGTCCCTCACTTTTCAAAAGTTCACATTATGCCACTTCACTTTTATAAAAGACCTACATTAGTACCTGTTTTCGCTAACCAAAAGAAATCCAAAGAGGAGTTGTGCTTTTATGAAAAACTGCAAAAAATGAGAATAGCATTCAGCATTTGTTTTGAATGAGCCTTTACAGAGGCAGCGTGCACCCCAAGCGGTGACAGTGACCCTGCCAAGCTCCTGGGAACCACACTCAGCACCTCAGCATCAAGCCTCCACAGCTGTGAACTGTGCCTGAGAGCATCTGTACTTTATCTCGATTTATTTTGTGCATCTGTTAGCAAGATGTGTCCTAAGGTATCAGAAAAGCCTAAGGGAGCTCATAAGGGTGTTACACTTACTGTAAAACCAGACGTAATTAAGCATTTCGATTGTGGTGAACAAAATAAAGACATTGTGCCTCTGCTGAACTTGCCTGCATCCACGATTTGTACTATTTACACACAGAGATAAAGAATCTCGAAAGCTGCCGAAGTTACTATTTGTTCTGCTAGTAGTGAAGCGGTATATTTTAGTTGGAATCTAGCAATGGGTAAAATGGAAAGTCTATTGCTTGAGTGGATTCATGGCTGTACAAAGCATGGAGTGTATTTATCAT